TGATTCCCACAGTCAGGAGCAGAGACTCTGGGGCCAGATTAGCTATGTGACTTTTACTTAAGCTTGTAGAGTCTCAGGACCCTCGCTTTTCAATGGACATAATGATAATACCTGCTTCATAGGTCCATGGGAACACTTAAATGAGTTTGCATGTAAGTGCTTAGAACTCTGTCTTGCCTGTGGAAAGTGCTATGTAGTGCCAGCTGTCATTAGCAGCAATAGCATCTCTGTTGTCATCAGCATCACTGGAGCATGTTCATTTAGGTGCCCGTGAGCAGCCAGAATAAAAAAAAGTGGCTTTCTTTTATGTAAATTATCTGTTACTAGGAGAAGCCAAAATGTGACTTTCTACTAAGTTCTCAAACAGGTTGTCCCTGGCATGCTGGGCTCTTACAGAAACAAGATGAGGGAAGCTAGAGACTTAAAAGGGATTCATGTATTCAACAAAGAACTCTTGCAAAAGAGGATAAAAAAGGCAGATTACCCAATTTTTAAAGATGAACAAAAGATTTGAACAGGCTTCTCATAAAACGCAATAAACACATAAAGAGGTGTTCAACTTCACTAGTCATCAGAGAAATGCGAATTAAAACCCCGCACCTGGAATGCCTATGATTAAAAAGATGGTCACCAAAAGACAAGTACTAAAATGTCATAGCAACATTATTTGTCACAGTCAAAAACTGGCAAGAGAACAACCCATCCACTGACAATAGATTGCACAATTAAATTGTGGTCTGTTCACACAGTAGAAACTACACAACATGAGTGAACGGCAGCCACAGGACAATGTGGATGAATCTCAGAAAGGATCTTGAGGAACAGAAGCCAGAAAGATATAAAAAAGCATGTTTGTCTAAAATTCAAAGAGACAAAACTAATCTAAGCTCCTAGAAATTAGCTTAGAATGCTTATCTTTAGAGAGGCGCAGGGACTGGAAGGTTACAAGGAGGTATTCACTTTTTGAAGAAAAGGTACTGACTTGTACCTAATGTGTGTTTATGTGATATTAGAGGAACAGTGCATGAATTTGTGCATGGGTGGGTCCCTCGGTCTGGCCAGTGAACAGGGCTGATCGGACCCATTGGGACTGGCCGGAGGGACCACAGGAGGTTGGCTGGCCAGCCATAGAAGGTTGGCTGTGGGAGTGCACTGATCACCAGGGGGCAACTCCTGCATTGAGCATCTGCCCTCTGGTGGTCAGTGTGTGTCATAGCAATCAGTCGCTTAGGCTTTTATATATAAGATTTCAATGAGATGTAAGAGATTCCAGTGGACCCTACTCCCAGTTACACCCTTCCCATCCTTCAGTTCATATGGGATTCCCAGCTTCTCAACCACAGATGCAGCCAATATAATCAGCCAAGAGAATCTCCCTCCATATTTAGACTCAACAAGAACTTCCCATTTCTTGAGCATCTGCCCCTGGTTTTTGGAAAGGGCCAGAAGCTTTAGAGACACCCCCAGCCGAGTGTGGTCTGTACTTGGAGCCAGTGGAGAGGCTCACTACTTCGGAAACAGCTCTCATTCTAGAAAGACCTTCAGTATTCTGACCCCAATGGAAACTCACTGCCTCAACCCTGTTTTCCAAATCTTCTTGAGGGTAACTTTAACAAACCAGGAAAAGGAAACACGTTTACTGTCTGACCTGCCCTATTTAAATATTAGTCTGTGGAAACTGGCCATTTCAAAAACCGAAACCACTTCGATCATGACCAAAACAGTACATGTGGTAACCAAACTGAAGTCAAGTTCTTTTTTTTTTTTTTTTTTATAAAATAACCCGCCCTGATACATTAGACAGAAGCAGACATTGCCCTTTTTGCAAACCCTGATAATTGATTCAGGCAGAGATCCTGAAAGGGCGGAGCCATTCTGGGAGAGGTTGTGGAGGATCTTTATGTCAGTCCCACCCACTGCTGCCTTCGTCCACCATTCCTAGGCTGTTTCCACCTGGCATGATTACTGACTAATGGGGGCAACACGACATGCTGCTCAGGAAGTGATGCCACACTACACTCCCATGAAGTGTTCTTTAGCTCCTTGCTCCCAAAAAGAAGCTGGAGCTGAATCTAAGTAAGATATTTGAGCACTTGAAATTTATAGAAAATGCAAATACAGAGAAATAGTTAAAATGATGCCAGGAGGAAGCAAACAGGCACATTCCACATAAGAATGACCTCTTGCCGAAACTGGTTTGGCTCAGTGGATAGAGCGTCGGTCTGCGGACTCAAGGGTCCCGGGTTCGATTCCGGTCAAGGGCATGTACACTGGTTGCGAGCACATCTCCAGTAGGAGATATGCAGGAGGCAGCTGGTCGATGATTCTCTCTCATCGATGTTTCTAGCTCTCTATCCCTCTCCCTTCCTCTCTGTAAAAAATCAATAAAATATATTAAAAAAAAAAAAAAAAGAATGTTCTCTTCAACAAGACAGTGGCATAAGAAAGAGGGCTTTTATTGTGGAGGTTATATGGATGCCCACATTTAACGAAACTCATCAAATTGTAGCCTTAAGATCTACCGTATGCAGGCCCTGGCCAGGTAGCTCGGTTGGCTGAGTGTCATCCCAGTACACCAAGTTGTGGATTGAATCCAGACAGGGCACATACAAGAATCAACCAATGACTGCATAAATAAGTGGAACAACAAACTGGTATTTTTTTTCTCTCCTTCTCTCGCTCTCAAATCAATCAATCAATCAATAAATAAAAGACCTACTGTGTGCAAATTTTATTGTAGGTTTTGAAAAGAGACTTAAGGGATATAACCAGTGAATAAAAAGTGTGAACCTTGCAGAGACTGATTCCAATAAACCAATCACAAGAAGATATATTTAGAAGGACAATCAATAGGGAACACATATCTATTGATGGGATACTATGTGAGAACAAGTAACCATCCATTTTGTTAGCTGCTATGAAAGAAAATATTTGTCTTTTTTAGAGTTATAGATACATAACAAAGATGATGTGAAATGCTTTATTTTTATTTTATTTTTTAATTCCTCAACTGAGGATAGGTATGTGTTATTTCATTGATTCTAGAGAGAAATGAGGGGGGCGGGGGGGAAAGAGAGAGAAAGAGACATCAATCGGTTGCCACTCCTATCAGGGTTCAAATCTTCGACCCTTGTGCATGGGACAACACTCATGCACAGAATACTTTAATTACAGGTATTGACGGGTTAAGGGTCATGAAGTTGGCAACTTCTTTTCAAATGCACTCTTTAAAAAAAATGTACTTATATAGAGACAGAGACAGAGAGAGAGAGAGAAAGAAAATGTAGCAAACTGTGAAACTAGAAGAGAAATGGTTTTCATTATACCATTTTTAAATTTTTTCTATAGGTTTGAGCTTTTCCCTCAATAAAAAAGTTGGAAAAATACATCAGTAACAACAAAAAAGAAAGGAAGAACAGAAGAAGGAAAAGGGAGAGAAGGAGGGGAGGAAAGGAGATAGAAAGGAAGGAAGGGAAGGAGGAAAGAAAAATCTCGATAATTCTTGGGTCTGGGTGATGGCATCTGGGGGTTTGCTATCTATTCTTCTAGTTTTGTATAGCCTTTGTATAGCCTAGGAAATTTCTATAACAAAAAGTTAACTTAAAAAAGGCATAGCAAGGATCTGGTTCTATTTCCCCCTAACGTTTACATGGCCTCTTCCACTGGCCCGCACTGACCGTGGGACTTTCCGAGTGCAGTGCCCTTCATGCCACCTCCACCCTGTGGGGTGGATGTCTTGTTATTGGAAGTCTGCCCCTGAGAGGTGAGAGAGGATCAGAGAGGTGAGCCTTTCCCAACCTCACACACAGGACTTAAACACAGCCAGCTGGATTCCAGAGCCTGCATGCTTTTTTTGTTGTTGTTAATCCTTACCCCAGGATATTTTCCCATTGATTTTTAGAGAGAGTGGAAGAGAGAGGTTAAGACACAGTGAGAGAAGCATCTATGTGAGAGACCACATCAGTTGATTGCCTCCTGCAGGAGCCCTGACCTGTGTAGGGCCCAGGCTGGGGAGGAGCCTGCAACCAAGGTACATGTCCTTGACCAGTATCGAACCTGGGACCCTTCGGTCCGCAGGCCAATGCTCTATCCACTGAGCCAAACCAGGTAGGGCCAGAGCCTGCATTCTTTTTTTTAAAAATATTTTTTATTGATTTTTTACAGAGAGAAAGGGAGAGAAATAGAGCTATAATAGAAACGTCGATGAGAGAGAAACATCGACCATGCCCTTGACCAGAATCGAACCTGGGACCTTTCAGTCCGCAGACCGACACTCTACCACTGAGCCAAACCGGCTAGGGCCAGAGCCTGCATTCTTAACCCTCACACTGTCTGACTGGAAGCACCTAAAACATCACCTCCTCCAGAAACTCACGCTAACTCTCTTTTGACTTCAGTACACTACCAGGAGCTTTCTACCTTTGCCTCGTGCAGAGATAAAGGCCAAGTTCTACTGTTTGGACATCCACCTCTTCGGTAGCTCCTGCTGTGTTTCCAGGAGCATTTCCTCCCTGCTTCCACTTCCTCTGTCCTAGCAGCCGAAACCACAGCCAGATACACCTCCCTGAAGCCTTGAGTGCCCTCACAGTGACCCTGCTGATTCCTAACTCAAAACACCATTCCCTGTCTGCAACTCCCCATCCAAAGTCTTCAGCCAGACATTCTAGCTCCCTTCTTCCCCGGCTGCATGACCTTGGGCAAGTAAGTCCACGTCTCTGAGCCTCAAGCTTCTTACCTGTAAAGTGGGCCAATAACAGCACCATAGGGTTTTGTGAAATCAATGGAGATAATGTAAGGAAAGAGCGTAGTAGGTATTGATTAAGTGTTCCTTTTCACAATTTGGCCTTCTCCCTCCCTCTCTCTCTTCCTTCCTTCCATCCACCCACTCACCCACCACATCTGTCTGGCTGTTGAAGACTGCCACCGCCTGGCCCACGTCCATAGGTCATGCACTCTGCTGATGGTACGCCCCCCCTCGGTTCTCCCTACCGCAGACTTACCCCCTGGGAGTGCAGATACTCCACGGTTTTGCTAATGGTGTGCAGGACGAAGCTGGCCTCCCGCTCTGAGAAGAATCTCTGCCGTAGGATCTTGTCCAGCAGCTCCCCACCCCGCATCAGCTCTGTCACCAGGTACACATGTTTGCCGTCATCGTACACCTGCCAAAAACCGTGCCATCAGGCCCCTCCCCTCAATGCCAGACGGGACCCCTTGGTCACCATTCACCAGGCCAGGAAAGAAGGACATGAGCGGGGGCGTGTGTTCTGCTCAGGGCCTTCGGATATTTGGGCCTCTGTTCTCCCCGGACAAGAAGATGCTGGTGCTTGCCTCCTGATGGGCAGGAAGCGCTCAAACATGCCCGTCTGAAGTGAAGGGTTCCTGGGGCGCAGGCAGGCCAGAGGCACCTAGGGTCCCCCTCCCCCATGAGCAGAGGAGGATCAGAAGTCAAAGGAATGGCAGACCCGAGACACATCCTAGAGTTGAGTGCCTCCGTCCTCACCCATTTCAAGGACCCCCACTCACATCTTTCAGAGTGATGATGTTGGGGTGCTGGCCATACCGCAGAAGAATCTCAATCTCCTCCGAGGGATCCCTCTTGCTCTTGTCGATGACCTGAGGGGAAAGGGTGCGTGTAGCAGCATTTCCTCCTGCATCCACACTGCAGGGCTAGCGTCCAGCCACACACCTTTCCCCCCACCCAGTGCCTCAGGTGCCAGCCCTCCTTGCCAAAGGGCAAAGGCCACATTGGCCCCTGTGCCGCCCCCACCCCCGCCCAGATACATGGATGGAGGCTCACCTTGACAGCATACTCCATGTTGGTGGCCTTGTGGACACAGCGCTTGCACACCGAGTAGGAGCCCACACCGATCGTCTCCTTTACCGCGTAGCCGTCGCTGAAAACCAGGTTCTTCCCGTGCAGCTGCTACAGGAGACCAAGAGGCGGGCTGGCCTTCCGCTTCAGAATGCAGGGGAGAGTCCCCAGCAGCCGAGGCCCGGGCTCTCCGGGGAGATGGCACCGGGCAGCAGCCAGGCCTGGGGTAGAATGCTGGACGTGTGACAAGAATCTGGCCCTCCCTGGACCTAGACGGTGCGATGGGCACACTCGCTGGCTCCCTCGCTGCAGTCAGAGGGTGGTGAAGTGGGCAGGCCTGAGAGGCCCGCAGGAGCCCTGAGCTGGGTCCCATCTGCCACTTCCTGTGACCTTGAGTGAGTTGCCTTCCCTTTCTAGGGTGTCACAGCCCACCTCATTAGGGATCCCAAAGTTCCAAGTCATGAATAATAGCAAATGCTTCGATAATGCTTGGCGTGTGGCAGATGCTATTCTGGGCACTTCCTACCAGGTACCACACGGCCCATGGACAGTCCCAGTGTATGCCTGCTGCCCTCACATCCCGTCTGGTTTAACATTCGTCCTGGGCAAAGATGTCCAGTTGGATGATAAATTACATAGTCATGTTAACTTTACACATATCAACTTATAGAATCCTCACAACCCTATGGAAAGTTTTTATCATCACTCCCATTTACAGAGGAGGAAACTGAGGCACCAGGAGGGTAAGTGTCACAATCAAGTCCCTCACTTGGAAGTTCTGAACCCAGGCAATGAGTTCCAGGGTCTACATTCTTGCCTCTCAATTCTAAGTTTCCACGGAGCCGGGAAAGTGTGCAAATGGGGGACAAGTGAGAGGAGATGTGAGCCCCCTGCTGCCCATCCACCTCCCAGCACCTCCAGCCTGGGCACCACCAGCCTGGGCACCCCTTCACACTTACCTATTCAGGCCCTACAGTGTCCCTGGCTGTGCCAGAAAATTTATGTGCACGTTGTCATCCTTGTTTTTACAAATGGGGAAACCAAGGCCCAAGGAGGTTTGGAAGCTCAGTGACTACACAGTGGCAATCAGGGTTTGAACCCAGGCCTGTCCAACTCCAGAGCCTGGATTCTCGGTCACTTTGCCTGTGGCTTTGAGGTGGAAAAGGACAACTGGTCTCTCACCTGTACCACTGAGTGCAGTGGTGCCTGTGTGGCCCACGTCTTGCCGTCATCCTCCATCAGGCCGGTGGCCACGAAGCTGAAGCCACGGAACAGCTGATGGGCGCCAGCACTGGGGGGGATGCCAGGGGAGTCTGCAGGGGGAGGAAGGGGATGATGAGCCTGAGGAGGTACCCTTGATCCCGAGGCAGCCCAGCAAAGGGCGACTACGGGGTCTCAGGCTTGCCTCAGCAGCTCGACATGAATGGTGGGAGCTTGGGCAGGACAGAACTCCTTATCCAACCCCCTAGCCAGCCCCTCTGTTCATGTGTGTTTAGACCAGACCAGCCCTGATCAAAGAAAGAAGGGACTGAGCCGAAACCGGTTTGGCTCAGTGGATAGAGCGTCGGCCTGTGGACTGAAGGGTCCCGGGTTCGATTCCGGTCAAGGGCATGTGCCTTGGTTGCGGGTACATCCCCAATGGGGGGGTGTGCAAGAGGCAGCTGATCGATGGTTCTCTCTCATCAATGTTTCTAGCTCTCTATCCCTCTCTCTTCCTCTTTGTAAAAAATCAATAAAATATATTAAAAAAAAAAAAAAAAGAAAGAAAGAAAGAAAGAAGGGACTGAGTGGACCTATGGCTAAACCCATGTTCCAGATGAAAACACTGAGGCCTGGCAGACCAGGATGAAAGACCCCCACATCCAGTGTCCAGTGCAGGCCAAGACCCTTCATCCCTTCCTGGATGCCTCCTCCTGGCCTCCCTGCCTCAGGTCTGCCCCCTTAGGTCCATCTTCTGTGCCACAGCCAGAAAGATGGTTCCGCCCGCAAATCTATCCCTGCACCTTCCCTTCCAACGTCCCCCTCTGCCCGCAAGAACAAGTCCAACTCCTCAGGGTCTTGTGCTCTTAGCTTCCTCTCCCTCACTCCGCAGCTCAGCGGGTCAGGCTTCTCAGATCCTTAAAGGAGACCCTCAGCCACTGCGCATGCTGTTCCCTCTCACTACATAGTTCGCTCTTTGTCTGTCCTTCGGGGCTCAGCTCATCCACCCTCTCCTCAGAGAAGCCTCTAGCCCTTCACCCCTATTAAGCTGCACTTGTCACACTGCCCAGTAGCTGGTTTCACATCTCTCCCCCACTAGAGCCTGGGCCATGTAAAGGCAGGGCCTGAATCTGTCTTGTTCACCATCAATCCCCCCATGGCTGGCACACAGTAGAGACCAGGTACATATTTGTCATATAAATGAAGAAAGAGGGACAAAATGCTCAGAGAAATGCTAAGCTCCCTATCATCGGAGATGTACAAGCACAGTGAGAAAAGCACCCCTTCTGCTAAAACCTCCTTCCAGAACTAACATCCCGCCGCCCCAATAACTGGACAAAATGTTAGGGTTTACCAAACTTCCTCCCAGAAGCCCTTGGCTTCTTACAAGGAAAGAAGGGACCGAGTGCACCTGTGGCTAAACCCATGTTCCAGATGAATCCACTGAGGCCTGGCAGTCAGAACAGCCAAAGCAGATTCCCACATCTGCCCCTGACCTGTGGGCGCTGTCTCCTCTGCTCTGCCAGACCATCTGCACCTTGCTTTTATTGGGTCAGATTCTTTACCCCTGACGTGAGCCTGACGTGTTTGTCTTCCCAGTGGGCTGGCAGATGCCCGGGGCAGGGGGCCTGACGTTTCTATTGTGGCCTCAACCACCCACTCTCCCCCACCCCTCACCAGACACAAAGAGCCCACAGAGGCCCGGAGCGGGAGAGTCAGGCAGAACAAGACGGGGACCGAGAGCCAGAGGCCCACCCGCCCGTCCGCCCACACACCTGCGCCTGCCAGAGCCCTGCCGCCCCTGCCTCCCTCCTATACCGACCGGTCCAAGGCAATCAGGCAAGGGACGCACCCTTGGGTGTACGGGACGTGAACTCGGTGTCGAAGTAAAAGGTGTCATCGGGTTGGGCCACGGCCGGCTTGAAGGGTGGCTTGATCTCACGACGGTACAGCTTCTGAAAAGTGGGGCGGGCATTCCGGTCACCACGGCACCCCCACAGCCTGCTGGGAGCCCGAGAGCACCGGCCATGCAGACAGGGGCACACTGCTTGCCCTTGGAAGGCCAGCCCTTGCTGCCCAGGCCATGGGTCACCCCGCTCCATCTTTAAGCCTTCATCAGTAGAAGCCCCTCCCCTAACAGGTAAAGCCCTGACGGGGTGACAGACACACTCACGTTCCAGTCAATGGTGGAGTAGAAGACATGTCGCTTGATTTCCTCTGCCCCATCAGGGCCGGAGCCTGAAAGAGCCCAGACGAGGGGTCTGCAGGTGGTTCAACCTCCAGTCGCCACCGAGCAGCCTCACTGGTCTGGAACCAGCAGCCGGAGCAGTCCACTGGGAGCACTGGACTCAAGTCTACCCTGCCACAAATCTACCCAGCCATCACAAGGCCTGCTGCCCGCTCAGCATTTTCCACTCTCGGGGGCCCCTTATGATCATGCTCTAATGTGACTGATAAAAGAAGGAAGGCCCAGAGAGGTTAAGCAACTTGCCCAAGGCCACACAGGACAGAGGCTGGACCAAGATCTGCAGAGGGCCTCTACCTCCTTCCCGTGCCAGGCATCATCTCTCTTGTTCTAATCCCATTGCCCCTGTCAGTCACCAGACAGGCTCTCATTCCATTCAATCCTGAGGACCTGGTTCATGATTCAGGTGAACCCAGGAGCCAAGATATATTAAGCAACTAGTACACACCAGACACATTCATGTGACTTCATTTAGTCAACAGAGCTTGAGATCATCCTCAATCTGAGGGCGAGGACCTGGGGCACTGGGAGGTGACGTCAACTACCTTGGTCACATCGCTCATAAATGGCACTCCTTTGTTCAACGAGTATTTACGGAGGGACCACTGCACACCAGGCAGCGGGGACCTGGCACGGGGCTGGGATCGGGACCTGAGCCTTCCGAGGCCTGAGCTCATGCTCTTCCTCTTGTGCCAGCAGCCTTGGCGAGGAGCTGTGTGGGGGCCTCTGTCCTTGTCCCAGGGGGAGTGGGATGACTCAGTTCCTGCCTTCCCCTACACACAGGTCACCCCGCTGCCCCGAATACCACACATGGAGCCAAGGAGGAGGGTGGCCAGCGGCATTGTCTGCCTACACAAAGGACAACGGTCCCTTTCAGCCCCAGATATGGCCCCGTGGCCTAGGCCGCAGCTGTACCCGCTCCCCTCCCCTGAGCTGGGGCTGCTTACCGAGCCGGTTGGCAGGATTCCGCTTGAACAGCGCCCGCAGGAGGCTCTGGGCTTCCGTGCTCAGAAACTGGGGCATGCCTAGCTTCGCCCTGAAACAGCCCCCGGGTCTCATCAGGGCTGAGCCCCACCCCAGAGGCCCCATCTCCCCTCCCACTTTTGTCCAGGTCTAGTTTCCAGCTCATGCCAGACAAGCGGTCCCCTAGCTCACCTCCCAGAGAATTCTGGGATTTGCCTCCCACAGGCCCAGGGGGGACGAACAAGGGGCTCTGGAAAGCACAATGCTTCATCCAGAGGAGTGTCTCTTTAATGGAGGAACCTGAGGCCGCCAAACCGGGGCCAGGCGTGAGGAGAGCCCGAGGGGTCAGGAAGGAGCTGGTGCTTACTTCAGAATCAGTGTCATGGTCTCCTTCCGGTCCTTCCCCTGGAAGGGCAGGGAGCCCGTCAGCATCTCAAACTGCGGAAGACAAGGGTCCATTCAGGCTTTGGTCCCCATCTCCCATGCCCCCACCTCCTTCCACGCAAGCCACTCAGCTCCATTCCCAGGATTCTTGCTGGCCTGCTGGAGGTTCACCTGGATCAAAACTGTGTCTGTCCCTCCCCCCTCTGTCAGTCAGAACACCAGGAGCAGTATCAGGGACCCAGAGCTGGGGAGAGGCCCAGTCCCGGGTTGGGGCACCCAGGTGAGGACCAGCCTGGAATCCTTCCAAGGAAGGGCACTGCGGCTGGGTGAAGGGTAAGGCCAGTTTGGCAGTGAGAGGACAGAAGAGCCTTAAAGACCACCAATCCCGACTGTACAGATGAGGAAACTGAGGCCGAGGCCTGGGTCGGATCCTTTGCCACAGCCTGGCACTCACCATCAGCACCCCATAGGACCACCAATCTGCACTGTGGGTGTGACCCTGGCGGTTGACCACCTCGGGGGCCATGTACTCCACCGTCCCGCAGAAGGAATAGGCCTTCTTCTCGTGGTCGATGGCTTCCTTGCTCAGGCCGAAGTCTGTGGTGAGGAGGGCAAGGGGACACACCTTCAGGCCACCCCTGCCTTCTTTGCCATCACCCCCTGCACCCCCAACTTCCCTGCCCAGAGGCCTTACGACATCACCCCAGGACATTCAAGAATAAGCTGAGGGCCCTGGTTGGGTGGGTATAGGAGGCAACCGATAGATGTTTCTCTTTCTTTCTCTCTCTCTCTCTCTCTCTCTCTCTCTCTCTCTCTCTCTTTCTCTCTCTCTCTCTCCCCCTTCTTCTCTAAAATAAACAAAAATTTATTTTTTAAAAAGAGTTAGCTAGCCGAAACCGGTTTGGCTCAGCGGATAGAGCATCGGCCTGCAGACTGAAAGGTCCCAGGTTCGATTCCGATCAAGGGCATGTACCTGGGTTGCAGGCACATCCCCAGTGGGCGGTGTGCAGGAGGCAGCTGATTGATGTCTCTCTCCCATTGATGTTTCTAACTCTCTATCCTTTTCCCTTCCTCTCTGTAAAAAAAAAATCAATAAAATAAAATAAAAAATAAATAAAAGAGTTAGCTAAGTCCCAGAGAGGATGGGAGACTTGCACAGTGGGGAGCTAGGGTTCAAACTCGGGCCATTCAAAGTCTGGGACCTGGGCTCTGATCACTCCTCAGGGCCTGGCACGGCCTCTCGGGAAGAACAGATCCTCGGCACTCAGCCCACGCCCAGTGAGAGCCCATCCTGCCCTCCCCAGGGACCTGAGGGGCAGGCGCCCTCCACTCACCGGTGAGCTTGATGTGGCCCTCCTCATCCAGAAGGATGCTGTAATGAAGAGAGAAGAGTCAGGGCCCGCGGCCGTGGCTCCTTAGGGGTTCTGATGACACCACGGGGGCTGCCGGGGTTGGCCCAGAGGTGACCCACCCAGATGCATCTGATGAATGGGTGGGTGGGGTGGGTGCTGGCACTGCTATCAGGTGTATTGCCTGCCCACCTTCTTTGCTAACCCTTGAAACACTGTGTGAGGTTGGTACTATTACTGCCCAGTTTTAAAAAGGAGCAACTAAAGCCTAAGAACTCCCCGTGGTCATAGAACTAGTACGTGGTGGAGACAAGGTTTGAATTTGGGTCTGACTCTAAAGCCAGAGCTCATTCCATCTTAGCACCTGCCCCTGACTCCCAAGTTACTGTTTGAGGATATTTAGATGTTAAGGAAAATTCTAGGGAAGCCATATTGAGGAATGACCTTTAATGGTAGCATCTTAGATGTCACACTGGATTAGGAAAGAGATAGGCAATGTACTTTCATGGAGGTGCCTGGCCCTCGGTGATGGCAACACTAGTGATTAGACAGCCCCCAGGGTAAGCCTGCTGCCACCACCACTCCACTGTACCCACCCATTCACGGGGCAGCTCATGGGACAGGAACTCTCTTGGGGAGAGTCACACCCCTGCCCATTGGGGCGGCCCTGTCCTAGGAGAGGCCCCAGGGCCTGACTCTGCACTGCCCAGGGGGCCGGGGTGAGGCTGGCGCTGCACTCACTTCTCAGGCTTGAGGTCTCTGTAAATGATGCCCAGGCTGTGCAGGTGGTCCAGGCCCAAAGCCAGCTCAGCCAGGTAAAACTTCACGTCCTCCTCCGTGAACATAACCTGCAGGGAGGGAGGGGATCTCAGCCTCTCCTTCAGGAGCGGGGACACTGGGCAGTCAGCAGCTTCCTGATCCGGAGGGTCCACTTTGAGGAAGACCCTTAAGAGACCCCGGGACCATCCACCCCCTTTACACAGGGGTTTGAGGTGTGAAATGCCTAAAATACATGTCACTCATGAGGCATTGCTTGGAAATAGCAAAAGGTTGGAAACAGCCCAAGGGTCAAGCAATAGGCGGGAGTAATGCCTCTCCCTGCAGATCCAGTGCTGTGCTGTGCAGCATGAACTACAAGAGAAGTTTCCCACGTTCTGATACAGATCGATATCCTCTCTGCTAAAAGCATAGACTGCAAACGGCCCCCTCGACTAGGAGTTCTTCCAGGAGTTCGACCAGGCAGCGGGGGGAAGGGAGGGAGGCCCTGGCTGGCGGCAGGCGGCTGGGGGAAGGGAAGGAGTACCCAGCCGGCGGCCGCAGCCGCTAGAGACACTACCAATGCACAAATTTTGTGCACTGGGTCTCTAGTCTTGAATAAAAGCAAGGTACTGAACAGTATCACACAATAGTTCCTTTTTTTTTTTAATCCTCGTTTAAGATATGTTTATTGATTTTAGAGAGAAGAAGAGAAAGGGAGAGAGAGAAAAACATCAATTGGTTGCCTCTCATATGCACTCTAACCGGGGACCAAACCACAACCTGGTATGTAGCCTGACTGGGAATCGAACCTGCGGTGACTTTTTTTTTTTTTTTTAATATATTTTATTGATTTTACACAGAGAGGAATTGAGAGGGATAGAGTTAGAAACGTTGATTAGCGAGAAATATCAACCAGTTGCCTCTTGCACACCTCCAACTGGGGATGTTCCCACAACCAAGGTACGTGCCCTTGACCGGAATCGAACCCGGGACCTTTCAGTCCACAGGCCGACGTTCTATCCACTGAGCCAAACTGGTTTCGGCTGCGGTGCACTTTTGGTGTACTGGATGACACTCCAACCAACTGAGCCACACCAGCCAGGGCCAGAACAGTACTTTTTATGTAAAAATGTGAGGGGTGGGATTCAGAACATATATCAGAATGGTGTGTATTTCCAAAGAGACATGAAAAGCTTAAATAAGGAACCAATAAAAATGTTTACCTATTGCCCTAGCCGGTTTGGCTCAGTGGATAGAGCGTCGGCCTGCGGACTGAAGGGTCCCAGGTTCGATTTCAGCCAAGGGCAAATGCCTGGGTTGCATGCTCGATCCCTAGCCCAGGAGACAGCTGATCAATGATTCTTTCTCATCACTGATGTTCCTATCTCTCTCTTCCTCTCCCTTCCTCTCTAAAATCAATAAAAAAAAATATTTTTTAAAAAAATGTTCACCTATGTGGGGTAAAAGGGGGTGAGGAGTGGTCTGAAGACTTTTAATGAATATTTTTCCTTTCAATCATATAAATGTATCACCTATTCAAACATTAAAATAACATTTTAAAATTTAAAAGTCTGGTTCTCTTCTACCGTTTGAATTGTACTAATGGCCATTTTTATACCTGGCTACAATTGTTTTAGGTCAGTTAAAAATCCTTTTGATTGACACATAGTATGTAGCATTACAGTATCTAGCTTTCTGGGTGAATCTGTGCTTCTCCCGTTCTCAATGGCCAGCCCAAGGCAGCCCTGGAGAATGGAGGGGGCAGGAGATAGCCACACTGAGCTCCCCAGCCTCGCGGTGGCATCAGATCCAAGGCCTGATCCTCCTCAGCCCATCAAACTCTCAGAGGCTTTGAGAGTGTGGACTCTGTCCCTGGGTGGGTCCAGGCCACACAGAGCCCTGGGGATGGGAGGCCTTGTTGTCCCTCCAGCTCCATCCTGGGGCCCTCTAGTTATGGGGTGCAAGCTCACCTCTTTGGAGAGCCGTGTGAAGAGGTCCCCGCCACGCAGGAAGTCCAGAATAAGATAGAGCTTGCCCTCGGTCTGGAAGGCTGGGGAGAGGGAAAAGGCAATGGTGGAGCCAGCTGGACCCGGCTGCTCTGCCCCCACTCCCTCCACACACCCCTGCTCCCTTGGCCTGCCAGGTGGCAGGTCGGCAATGTACAGGGAGACAGCAGCCCACAGGCATGGGCAAAGGCTGGCAGGTTGGGTGGGACTCACCATAGTGCAGCTTCACCACAAATGGGTGGTTCACATCGGCCAGGATGTCTCTCTCCATCTTGGTCCGAACACGGTCCCGCACTGGCAGGAGGAGAAAGGAGGTCATCAAGTCTAGCCACTCCCAGCCCCTGGCTGAGCAGGGCTCTCTTTGCTCCTGTTCCTCACATTTCATGGCAGTGCCCAGGGCTGGGCCCTCGGTGCCCTGCCTAGCACTCTGGCCCCATCTTCAACCATGCTCCATCAGGGCGATTCAAGCAGCAGTCTGAGCACCCCGTTCCTCTGTGTGCCCTCCGCCTTTGCCCCGAGGGCCCCCCAGGGTACCTTCACCAGCCCCCTTCCCATCTGGCGTAAAAACCCCCAATGCCAGCCGAAACTGGTGTGGCTCAGCGGATAGAGCATCGGCCTGCGGACTGAAGAGTCCCGGGTTCGATTCTGGTCAAGGGCGCGTACCTTAGTTGCGGGCACATCCCCAGTGGGGGGCGTGCAGGAGGCAGCTGATCGATGTATCTCTCTCATTGATGTTTCTAACTCTCTATCCCTCTCCATTTCTCTCTGTAAAAAATCAATAATATATTTTTTAAAAATCCCCAATGCCAGGCTGGGGCTGGTGAGAATAGTCACTTAGGGAGCTACTTATAAAGGCAGATTTCTGGGGCCTCAAATTCAGACTCATGGGTCTGAGCAGACAGCCTCACACATACTACTTTTTCTTTAAGACTCAATGTCCCGCCCGGCTGGTGTGGTTCAGTAGTTGAACCAGGAGGTCACAGTTCAATTCCTGGTCAGGGCATATGGCCAGGTTACGGCCTCGATCCTTGGTGTGGGGTGTGCAGAAGGCAGCCAATCAATGATTCTCTCTCATCATTGATGTTTCTCTCTCTCTCTCCCTCTCTCTCCCTCTCTCTCCCTCTCTGAAAGCAATAAAAATATATTTAAAAAAAAAAAAAAAAAGTCCCTAGGCAATTCTGATCAACAGTTTCTTCTTTGACTCAGTTTAGGCCTTGCCTCCTCCAGGAAGTCTTCCTGAACTTGCCTAGCTGAGTTAGCAGTGCTCTGCTTCCCCCTCAGAGCACCTTCTCACCCTGTTTTAATGTTTTTGTTTCCCTCACCAGACATGACAGGTACCATGCTGGAGTAAACTAGTCCAGTCACTGTTTCCCAAATACGCCTTACATTTTCAAACCGCCCCTACAATATAGCTCTGGCAAACAGTTCCTCTTCCTGGGGTCCCATTCCTTTCCCATTTTCAGTCCGGAGAACTCCCAACTCATCCTGCAAGGCCCAGTTCAAATGGCCATTCTTTATGTGAGCCTACTTCCCCGCCCCCCCAACCCCACCGCCCAGGACACTGCACCCGTCTTCCCAGAGATGCCCGGTCACAGCAAGGATTGCACCGCACCGCAGGGCTGCTCAGCCTCTCCAAAGCAGGAACCATGTCTTATCACCTTTCTCTTCTCAGGTGGCCCCCACCATCCCTCCTGGGGAAAGACTCCCCCCGTAGCAGGCTGGCCTTGGGGCACCAAAGCTACATCATCCCACAGACACCCTTCCTGGGCCGTAAGACTAACACTGTAACGTCCCCAAGGCTAACACTTCCAAACCCGCTCTCCCCCGGTTCCCCAGGCCCACTGCATCTGGTCGGTGGCCACAATGGCTCCCAGGCTGGTCAAAGAGTCACTGCCCAGCCCAAAGCCCGTACCAACTATCCTCATGCCCTGCCTCGGGCTCTCTTTGGAACCTCTCTAACATCCATCTCTGTGGTCCTGCTTTGACTCAACCTATCCTATCCACCCAGCAGCCTCACGCTCTTCTCCACCCGAGGTCTCCCGCAGACTCCCCTAACACCACGAAGTAACTCTGCCGGCAGGAGGGTTCTGCCCAAGCAGCCTGGCGCTGATATCTGAAGGCCCCACCACAGACGCACTGACTGACACCCACCCGCCTCCTTCCAGACATTCGCCTCCAGTTATGTCATCGGCACTGGGTGTGGGGCATGGGAGTGGGGATGCAGTTAACCCCCGAAGTCTTTTCTTTTGAACGGACCCTGTCTTTTCTCTAAGGTGGGGTATGGGGTAAGGGGTGGCTGACCTCCTCCATCGGACGCAAGGCCCTGGAGAGCTGGTCTGTCTCCCTTGATCCTGTGCCCAGCTTGGATAAATAATTTTTATTTATTAATTTGAGAGAGAGAGAGAGAGAGGAAGGGAGGGGGGAGAAACATCAATCAGCTGCTCCACCATTCACGCACCCACTGACTCCTACGTGCGCCTTGACCAGGGATGAACCCGCAACCCTGGCCCATCAGGGTGATGCTCCAACCAAGCTCCCGGCCAGGGCCCTCCACTCACCTTTCAGTGTTGCCTTCTTTAGTACCTTCATGGCATACAGGTGTCCACTGTCGGGCTTGGTGATCTTCCGCACCAGGAAGACCTGAGAAGGCAGTTGTGGGAGAAGCTGGGGAGGGCCCAGCCCCCATCCTCCAGATCCCAGGCTGATTTCTCATTTCCCTGAGCCCCATGCTGACCTTTTGCCCTCCCTGGGTCTTAAGATGATCTCTCGTCTTCCCTCAGACCCGTCCACCCTTGCCCTCTGGTCCTCAGAGCCCCAAGGTGAGCTCTCATGCCCACCCCGGACATGACCAGTGCCGCCCTCCCAGCTGTGGGCTCAGGACTCACTTTGCCAAAGGATCCCTGGCCCAGAACCTTGAGCAGCTCAAAATGGGATGGGTCAGCCTTCTCGGAGCCAGCCTTGACGTGGTGCGTGATGGAGATCTCCTTGAGGACGCCCTCATCCTGATGGAGGGATAGAGTTGGTGGGCACGGTGAGCCCCATCTTGGCAAGCAGAGGGCATGACCCCCTTCCAAGTCCACCCCCAGCAGACCTCAGACAGGACCCCGCAGGCCCTCACAGACAACTGCCCCGACAGACCAGCCTCCAGATCCATCTGTACAAAGGGCTTCGAAGGCCTGGGGGGAGGGGGTCAGACTCTCCAGGTGCAGTCAGATGGGGCACTGCTCCTACTGCTCCTGATGCTCCCGCCTGCTCGGGCCCAAAGGGATGCCCACGCATGGCCACGCTGAGCCAAGCCCTGGTTCTGGCTGAGGCCCAGAGACCTGCCTCAGGTCCTCCCCTCCCCCTGCCGTAAAGGTTTGGGTTTTGCCACAATAGGAAGTAGGGTTTGTTCTCACATTGGGTTGGCAGAACTGGGTTTTTGTTCCTAGACAGGATGGATGGCAGGGTTCCACTGGCCAGAAGGACAAGGCTGAGGTACATAGGGACCCACAAGTCACCAGAGACCAACCCAGTAAATGCCAATTTGGCTGAGCAGGAGCTAAGGCCAGAGACTCCGGACCCCACCCTCCTGAAGCTCCTTCATACAAATCTACCAGAAACCCCTCGCCAGGCGGCGGCTGTTCTAGGACCCTCTGCCATCCCTCCAATCTTCCAGGGTCGCCCTGGAGCCCTGAAGTGCTGCCTCACTTCCCCAGGAAGCAAGTCTGGGCAGAGTCCAGCCCCCGAACAGGGCCAGGCCAGGGCTGGGAGAGCCCGGCTGAAGCCAAACTGGCTGCCTGGGCACCTGCTCCAAGGGCCTCAGTCAGGACAACTCATCCATCCGGCCACACTCACCGAGTCCCGCCTGGGGCCAGAGCCAGGGCCAGGGGCAGGCAGAGAGGTCTGGCTGATCCGGGGCCGCTGCTTCCTGGGCATCCAGGGGAGCAGGGCCCAGAGCCGCAGACGGGGCGGCTTGGGATCCTGCTCCATCCGCCCAGCAGGGCCACGGCACCATGGCAGGAGCAGGCAGCCTTCGGGCTGCCTCGGAGGTGGCCGGGCCCAAGGCGGATGTGCTGGGTGAGGGAGGGGGCTGGGCCCGGGCCTGGGCCGCCAATCACTCAGGGCCTGTGGTTTCCTAGTTCCAGGCCTACACCCTCCGCCGCGCTCCCTTCCTCTCTCTCTCTCTCCCCCCCACTGCCTGAGGGCTGCCCTCTGGCCCTCCACCCTATTCTCCCTGTGGGCCTGCAAAGGGAAAGCCCCATGCCAACCCAATTGCCGAGGAGCAGATAGGTACCCAGGGCAGAGACAGGCATCTACCATGCAGAGGCAGATAAAGAGGGACACCCAACCAGCAGAGGCAGGCACCCAACAGGCAGAGGCAGATAAAGAGGGACACCCAACAGGCAAAGGCAGGCACCCAACATGCAGAGGCAGATAAAGAGGGGCACCCAGCAGGCAGAGACCGGCACCCAACAGGTGAAGATTGATGTATGTGGGCATCCAACAGGCAGAGACCAGAGGGCACACATGCCCAGCAGGCAGGGATGGATAGGCAGAGGTAGGAAGAACACATATCCAACAGGCAGAGGTGGACAGAAACTCATACCTAGCAGGCAGAGGGGGTCAGAGATTCACACCTAACAGGTGGAGGCAGGTGGGGACCCACCCAAGAGGCAAAGGTAGATGGGGACATGAACCCAACAGGCAGAGACAGATGGGGACCCAACAGGCAGAGATAGATGGGGACCCAACCGGCAGAGACAGATGGGGACCCAACAGGCAGAGACAGATGGGGACCTACAGCCAACAGGTGGGGACAGATGGGGACACGTACTCAACAGGCAGAAACAGAAGAGGACATGATCCAACAGACATCTAACATGTGACATGCACCCAACAGGTAAAGCCAGGCCCTCACCAAGCAGGGACAGAGACAGGATCCCAACAACAGAGGCAAGTGGGCAGCAGACAGAGACAGCCGGTCAGTGAGGCCCAAGTACCCAGGGCAGACACACAGGCAGGAAAGACACCCAGACACTCAGAAGCAGATCTTGACTCAGAGGCAGAGCTCTGGCTCTTGCTGGTCTGCCTAGGGGAGAGGATGTCCCCTGCAAACCCCTAGCACTTGGGAGGACAGTCCAGTGTTTGTGGCAGACCCATCTCTGAGGGGGGACCAGGACTAAGGCGGTGGGCCGAGAGGAACCTCTGAGTGCAATCTAAAGACTCTGACTCTGATCCAAATATCCCACACGCTGCTATGCCCATTTAGGGACAGGAAACTAAGGCCTAGAGGACAGTGACTCACCAGGCTCACAGTGAAGTGGTGGCAGGACCCAAGTCTTTCCCTGGTTATTGCCTCGCCTGCGGTTGGCAGGCGTCAAGTGCCGGGAAAGGGTGGGAAGGTAAGTCACCTAGAGCCATGTCCTCTCATCCAAGCCCGCCCCTCCCTCAGCAGTAGGGTCAGTCCAGGAACTTCCCATTCCAGATCTGGACCCTCAGAGGCCAACCCCATCGTCATGGTGCGCTGAACAGTCACAAAAAGCTGCAAGCTGATCAGCTCCGCGTAAAACAGGCAGAGCCACACAGGAACCCCTGCCCACCCCACCCCACCCTCCACGTCTGTCTGTCTGTGACTGAGAACACTCCCCTGAAGGCAGAGCCAGTCACCCGGAAACCCCAGGGGACAGAGCTACCCCCAAACACATTCCTTGCCCGGAGCTACGGTGACAGACACTGTTGGAGGCAGGCCAACCCTCTGCTCACCTTTCTGGGACAGGAGAGTGAGTCTCTCTCAACTCTGGAGAAAGCTGCCGGGGTCTGCATGGTGGGGCTCAAGCTGGTGGCCAGAGGGCCCCATTACTCCCCTTACTTCTGCTTTTTCAGCCTTCCTAGCCCAGAAGGCAGGGTCCCTGACCCCCTCCTTCTCACTTCCCCCTCTGCAGGGAGGAGGGACAGAAGACTGGGTCAGGCTCCCTTGCTGAGGAGGGAACATTGTAGACCCCAAGCCCATGACTGGGGGGGGGGGGGGCAGGCACCCCCCCCCCACACACACACACACACACACTTGTCTCCTCTAATCCTAAGGAGGGGAGACTGGAACACAGACAGAGTCACAGGTGATAAGGCACCGACACAGTGGGCACCTGGGACCCACAAACATTCCTTGAGAGAATGAGGGCAGAGGTCAGCAAGCCATGGGCTCTAACTGTCCAGGCTACAGCACAGACACCCTTTCCCTTTCCCCCTAGTGACCAGTCCATGGCTAGGCCCACCCAAAATGACAGCCCACAGAGCAGGCGCTGCCACGCCCAGCCCGGCCCTGAAGAGCCTGACAGTCCAGAGTCCTGGGATGGGTAAGGGGGTCGAAGGCCTGGCAAGGACCCAGAGGTCTGAGATGAGCAGGTAGCCTGGGGCAGGGGTAGCCCAGGCCCAGCCCCCTTGCACGTGACCCTGCCACATCACTCACCCCAGTACAACCCACAGGAACTCACACACACACACACACACACACACACACACACACACACACAAATACACACAGGCCGGTGATCGGAAATCATTTCCACAGACATCCCCTATGTGGAAACACACCCCCATGTACACACGGACTTCCCCTTCCAGTCCTCACGAACTCCGATAAAAAGTCTGATGATGCCTGCTGGGCTTGTGAGAGGCCTCCTGGACTGGGCTTCTCATTGCACCCCAGCTTCTTCAGCAGGAGTTTAGCGGTTGGGACAGCCCTCAGGCTCCCCAACCCTCGAGTCCCTGAGAAGCAAAGGAAGATGGTCTGTGGCAAGGGCACAAGAAGGGGCAACAGGAAGGAAGTGGTCTCAGAAGTGCCTCTGCTGAAGGCTATGTGAGGGCCCGGGAGGCCTCTGGATAGCAGAAGAGGCAGGACAGGCAGCAGACCACAGCCTTGGTCCCTGCCCATTCCCCCCATAGATACTTCCTCTATTTACTTCCTCCCACAAGGCAGCTGGGCAAGAAGACCAGAGACCCCACCTGATCGCTGGTCCCCAGGAACCTCACCCTGGGCCTCCCTCCACCAGCTACGGCCCAAGCCCACCTGGCAACGCCCGGCCCTAACGCGTATCAACAGCCCCTTCCCTGGTGGGCAGCATGGGCAGGGCCTCCCAGGCACTGCCCCTCTGGCAGGACAGATGTCCCCTGACTTGTCTCCCAGCATGCCCCTGGGCAGATGAAGAGGGTTCCATAGTTTGCAGGCATTCTTGATGGGGGAGCTGGCCTCAGGTACTAGGCCAGGACTGGCATGGAGTGACAATGAGAACTGGGCCTCCAATAAAGGGAGCATTTTATTGGGTAGGACTGTTCTTTCCTTCAATCATTGCTGGCGTGGATCCTGCCACGCCCTATGTCTTAGTCTCGTTTCAGAGATGAGGAACCTGAACTCAGAAAGTGACTTGGCCGAGGCCACATGGTTAGAAAGGGAGAGAGCTAACAGCAAAATCCAAGTCTGCTTGCTTCCAAAGCCTGCATTCCTCAGCATTTCAGCATTGCCCTCCCTGCAAGGCCAGCCAGCCAGCCGGCCCCCCTTGTGGACATCACCCCAGCTCCTGGCCCCTGCTCTATCCCCGGGTCAGGAACCACACACTAGGAAGCACTCGGATTGAGGCAGATGCCTGCCTTGATCTCCGGTAGCTCAAAAAATAAACACATAATAACAAAACGCAATTGCCGGTGACGGAGCGACAGTTAGGTGTTGTGGATGCCCAGAGGCGGCGACTATCTGCCAGGGTGAGGTCTGAAAGCCTTCCAGAGAGGGGGCAGCGCAGCAGGACCCTGAGGAGGAACGGGAGTTGGCCAGGCAGGAGAGAGGGGGAAAAGGGCACATCATGTAGAGAGACCGGGGTGAGAAGAGGCTTGAGGCCAGGAGTGCAGGGAGGGAAGTGAAGAACCGTTCACGCACTAGCTGAGCGCTCCCAGGCAAACGCTCTCTCTAGCTGAGCCTCAGTTTCCTCCTCTGTAAGACAGAGGTTAAAGCGAGATGTTGTTTCTAGAAGCAAAACGGGCCACAGAGGCAGAGGAACAGTCAACAGAACTGGCTGAATTAGGGGGCAGTCTGACTGCTGCCGCGTCCCCTCTGGGCAGGTCGAAGGGACCGAGCCCCGCCACGGGGTCCCAGGTGCTGGGAGGGTGAGCTAGCCTGCCCTAGCCAATCTAAGGGAAGTTCCCCCAACACCTGAGGCTCCCCAGGTCCAGTCACATCCTGCCTGAGCTCCGGCCAGGGGAGCCGGAGGGATCCGGAGGGATCAGGGTTTCATAAACAGGAAGAGAGGAGGGGAGGGGGGGGATGCTCGGCTCTCAAAATAGACCCACAGGCACTTCAAAGGGGTCCAGCTCCGGAGATGGCCAGGGGAGGGGCCTGGGTGCCCAGGCTACCCCCAGGAAGGAAGGGAGGATGAATGGAGCCCCAGTGTGCCTGAGGACACCAGGTGCACCCTGGGTACTGAACAGATCCAGGGAGCTCTCATCCTAGACTTTGTCCACACTATGGCAGATAACCTCCAAATCTCCCTTTCTGATCGACACTAATAAAATAAAATAAGTATAGAACACCAGCAGTGTGCCTCACACTTTGTTAGATTTTTTTTAACATACACACATCCCATGCCTTCCTCTGGATAGTCTCGTACAGGAAAAACATCTGCGCCTCAGACCAAACCCCTCACCCAAGGTTATGAGGCAAACAGGAAAGAAGGCAAGATTCTGGACTCAGAATGCCTGTCTCCCAAGTCCCCCTTCCCCCTCTTCTCCACTGGAAGACACACTTTTCTCTCCAAGTGCCCAAATCCTGCTTTTTGAGGCCCCGCCAAATGCCAGTTCTATAGGGAAGATGTCCTGGTACCCTACAGCCCACCCAATGTTTCTTCCTCTGCACCCCTGGCAGTGACTGTCCATCTGGTCCACGCTCAATCCTAAACTCAGATGCCACTGACATGCTCACATCACCCTGCTACTGAGAGAAATGTGGGCGCTGGAAGGTGGTCATTTCTCTGCCCATCACGGGGCCTGGCACAGAATGGAAGTTCTGCATGCCCACAGTCGTGTTCTTCCCCATCACAGTGCCCATCGCATAGCTTTCCTGTCTCCAACTGCCCCCTGAGAGCTCCCTGAGGGTGGGGATGTTGATTTCATTTTGGGTTTCCCCAGGAGCACAGCAGGGTGCCCTGAAAGTGTGATGAAGCAAATGATACACCAGCTCTTTGCCAGCTCCTTCCGCTACAGAGTGATGAGGTCCTGAACACAGGACTGAGCGCCCCCTGGTGCTTGAGCCCAGAAGTGGGCATTGGGGATACTGTAACATTCTGGGGCAGCAGAGATGATGACGAGGAGGTTCCTAGGAATAATGGAATTTGGGGATAAGAGGGACCCAATGTTCTTCTTCTTCAGCACCAAGTGTTGCCTGGGCTGGGAGAAATGTGGTCAAGCAAGATCTGACTGCATTGCTCACCACCTATGTGACCTCGGACCTCAATTTTCTCATCTGTAAAATGGGATTATTAACAATATCTACCTCGAGGGCTGTTGTGAAAACTAAAGGGAAAGTTCCTAGTGTGGTGCCAGGTGTGTGTTAAGCTCTTTCTCTGTCTTAAAAGTGGCATTCATCACCCCACTCCAGAATTTTCTGCTCTAGAGCTGTAGTCGTAGGCTTGGGAGTAAATGTAGGTTACCTGACTGGGTAAGCTCCTGTCCTCTCCCTACCAGCCACTCTAGCTTTTGGGATGAGAAGCTGTACTGACCACCACCATCCCCAAAGCTGCAACCCCAGAATCTAAGCTCCAAGATGTGTACATCCTGGTTCTTCACTTTGTGGGAGGAGACTGTGCAGACATGGGGCTGAGCAAACCAAGGAACCCAGTTTACACCACCAGCCTGGCTTCTGGTGGCCCCCGATTGCCACAGTAACCACCAGAAGAGGAGGTAAGAGCCTATTTCTCTCATCCAGCCCCACCTCAAGCAGCTCAGCAACCTTATCTTAGGAGGCTGAGAAATGACAAACATGGGCATCAGCCCTGGATAGATCTCAAAGGTCAAGCCTATAGCAGGTCTGGTGCCCAGGCAGACCCAGGCTGGAGGGTGTGGCCACTGGTAAGAAGTAGAGCTGAGCAAGGCATTGGTGCATTCATACTGCTGGTGCGGAAGTCACTGTGCACCAGGCAGTGACTATCTCATGTTCTTCACATCACACGTATGGGGAGGCCCTGTTATCCCCAATTTACAGATGAGGAAGCTAAGACTCAGAAGGGAGAAGAGCCCTGGCCAGAGTAGCTTGGTTCACTGAGCGCTAGCTCATGCACCAAAGGGTTGCCGGTTCGATTCCTGGTCAGAGCACATGCCCAGGTTGTGGGATCGATCCTCAGGCAGCTGATCAATATTTCTCTCTCTCCCTTTCCCTTCCTCTCTCTTTAAAACAAGTAAAAACATTAGGAAAAATAGAGGAGGGGGGCTCAGCTGGCATGGCTCAGTGTTGAGCATTGTCCTATGAACCAGGAGGTTATGGTTTGATTCCCAGTCAGGATATATGCCTGGGTTTTGGACTCAATCCCCAGTGTGGGCGTGCAGGAGGCGGCCAACCAGTGATCCTCTGTGATCATTGATGTTTTTTTCTCTCTCTCCCTTCCTCTTGAAATCAATAAAATACATACATAAAGGGGGAGGAGAGCTCTGTGACCCCGCACAACTGGGGATGGGAGGAACCCGGGGGAAGCAGAGACAGCAGGGGTGAGGGGTCAGCCTCATGCTGGGAGCTGGGAGCCCTGAGAAACGGTCTGTGTGCCCATTTCTCTAGCATCACATGCCCAGATGGTTCCAGGCCCTTGTCAGGCCCACACCCTTCAGCCCTCTCCTCACAGTCAGCCCAGTTGCCAAGAGTAAATAAACTAAGGAAGTGTCCTAGTCTGGGTGATGGGTAACCAGAGTTCTAGCATGGACTCTGCTCTGACCCTGTCTGGGCCACTGTCCTCTCACCTAAGACCCTCTGGGCTGGAGACTTCCCACTCAGCGGCCTCACACTCTGATCTTCATGCACAGGGCTGCCTCAAGGATTAGCAGGGACCAGAGAAGAAAGGCTGAGCGGGGAAAGAAGGGAGAGGCCAGGACTCTCACACCCAGGTGGGATAAGGGCAGGCCTCCACTCCCCCCTCCTCCATGGCCAGGCAAACAGTGCTGCCCTCACAGAACTCGGCCCAGGATGCCAGCCCTGGCCCTCACCTTGGATGACTGAAGGCCAGCTTCTTCCCCAGGTGCCTGTCCGTTCTGGAAGAGAGAAGAGAGATTACGGGACATGGTCAGAGTTTATCAGCGTGGGACAGAGCAAAGACGGACCCGGGGGTTCCCTCCATCCCCGGCTGTTTCAAATAGCTAGGGAGGACATGGAGGTGGGCAGGCGTTCTGAACGGGTCTCCCAACTCCAGCTGCACAGTGAGAGCACAGGCGCCACGCCCTCCTGCAACAGCCTCTCACCAGCCAGGTAGTGCATTTCTCCAGACTCTCTCCCTCAGCTCTCTGCCTGCAAACGTCTATCTTTGAAGGCCCAGATTAGATGCCATCTCCTCCCAACGCCAGTTCTGCCAGAGATAACTGTGTAACTTTGTACCAACTGCAAGCAGCCTCCGTTTCCTGATTTGTAACATGCGGGTGGTTACAGCCACTTCCCAGCGGTGCTGCCAGGGTAGAAAGAGACAAAGCCTGGGAAAGTATCCAGCCCAGAAAGGGTGGCTACCCTGGCCTTGCCCCCGCTGAGACCCCTATCCTGCCAGGCAGAATCACTCACTGCTGGCCCCCTCTTTCCCCGTAGTCCTTCACTGTACCACTTGTCAAATTGCAGGGTCTATTTTTTTTAATATCATTATTGATTTCAAGGAGGAAGGGAGAGGGAGGAAGAGATAGACACATCGATGATGATAGAGAATTATCAATCGGCTGCCTTATGCACGTCCCCCACTGGAGATGGGACTCACAACCCAGGCATGTGCCCTGATGGGGAATCGAAGCATGACATCATGGTTCAAAGGCTGATGCTCAACCACTGAGCCACACCAGCTGGGCAGCAGAGACTATTTACACTCAGGCCTGCCCTTCCGAATAAATGCGAGTGCCAGGAGGGCAGAGGTTAGGGCTCCGTGCTAACAGCTGCTCTCCCCAGCCCCTCCCACATGTCAGGCACTGGGCTCAGTGCCTCACACCTGTGGCATCAGTAAATCCTCAGCCCTGGCAGGGAAGCCCTAGCCCCATTTGGCAGAAGAAAAAATTGAGGCCAAGGGGCCTAGTAATGACACTTAAGGTCACAAAACTGGGGATTCAAATGTTGGTCTCTGACACCCAGGAGATGCTCAAAAGAGGTCTATTAAAGAGCAGCACACATCCCAGGGGACTTCCTGCAGAGGGGTGGATGGACACTGGGGCCAATCTCTGGGCAGTCCTGCTTTTTCCAGTCCCCAGACTTCACACCGAGGTGGGCATATTCACCCTAGTGGCAAGCATGTCAAACTCGCAGCCAACGGGCCACATGCCTTGTCTACTTAAATGAGTTTGACATGCTTGCCCTAGAGTACACCAAACCCAGCCCAGCCTATGATGCAAGGTGATTCATTTTATCTGGAAGTTGGGGAGCTGAATGGAGCTGTCCCCACTCTTCCTTGCACAGCAAGAGAATGGTGAGGTAGACAGAGGCTCCTAACAGCAAGGAAGACCCAGCCTAGGACACGGCAGGCCTCTGGAGCCAGTGGCTGGGTCCACCGGGCAGCTGTGGCTTTGCTTGGCAGCAGCAGACACAGCTGTGCTCTGCCCATTACATAATCTCCACGCCCCTGGAACAGCTTCCCTCCGCTGCTTCCAGGACATCCTGCCCCCTGAGCCCCTCTAATGCCCCTAATCCTCCCCAGGGCCAGTGTTCCGCGGGCCCCTCCACACACACATACACACACATGCTGTCGTCTCTCAGCAGCCTGGGGAGAAGGGCCAGGTTGACCAGGGTCCAGGGGGAGGCAGGATACATCTGTAGCTTGAGCTCCACTTCACCCAGCAGTCTAGAATCTTGACTGAATTCCCACAGAGGGTCTCAACAGCCTACCCACTAGCCCCTCGCCCCAGCCTTCCCCCATTCAAACCTTCATCCTTCCTAAAACTCAACTGTGCTCATTGCACTTGAGCCGTTCATTTCCTCGGTCACTAACTCACTGCTTATTGAGAACTTGCTATGTATCAGGCCCCAAACCTTTCCATGTCTTCCCACTGCCTGCAGAATACAGTCCCAGCTCCCCGGCACGGCAGTCAAGGCTATCATTTCCAACAACCCAACACAAGTGATTAAGAACATGGGTTCAGGCCTGGCCGGCATGGCTCAGTGGTTGAGAGTCGACCTATGAACCAGGAGGTCACCGTTCCATTCCCGGTCAGGGCACATGCCTGGGTTGTGGGCTCGATCCCCAGTGTGGGGCCTGCAGGATTCTCTGTCATCATTGATGTTTCTCCCTCTCTCTTCCTCTCTGAAATCAATGAAAATACATTTAGAGAAAAATAAAATAAAAAAGAACATGGGCTCTGGAACCTAACCCTGTGGGTTCAAATTCTGTGTTCCGCACCACCTCCATCACCCTGAGGTGACTTCATCTCATAGGGCGTCAGTCCTCAGCTGGGAAATGGGGATAAGAGTCATGGACCACATCAGGTGGCTGTAAGAAGCAAACAAAATAGTCTATAAATACCTATACCCGGCAGGCATGTACTGGGTCCATAAACAATAGTCATCATTATTCTGAAGCTAAACGGAAACGACCCGAGAGCCTGAACAGGCCAGCTTATTTCATTTTGCTAAGCATTTGCATGATTGCTCACTTCTTTTTTTTATTTTATTTTTATAAAAAATATATTTTATTGATTTTTTTTCACAGAGAGGAAGAGAGAGGGATAGAGAGTTAGAAAAATCAATGAGAGAGAATCATCGATCAGCTGCCTCTTGCACACCCCCTACTGGGGATGTGCCCACAACCAAGGTACATGCCCTTGCCCAGAATTGAACCCGGGACCTTTCAGCCCACAGGCCGATGCTCTATCCACTGAGCCAAACCGGTCCCCGCGATGGCTCACTTCTTGTACCAAGAAAACTTTCATGCCTTGTCGTTTTGGCAAATTCTGGTCTATTTCCAGGACTCGCTTCAAATGCCATCTCTTCTGTCCACACAGCCTTTATTTATTTATTTTTTTAAAATATATTTTATTGATTTTTTTTACAGAGAGGGAGAGGAATAGAGAGTTAGAAACATCGATGAGAGAGAGAGACATCGATCAGCTGCCTCTTGCACACCCCCTACTGGGGATGTGCCCGCAACCAAGGTACATGCCCTTGACTGGAATCGAACCTGGGACCTTTCAGTCCGCAGGCCGACGCTCTATCCACTAAGCCGAACTGGTTTCAGCTGTCCACACAGCCTTGAGTGCTTTCCTTTCTCCTCTGCATCCCGCAGCACTGAGGAGGCTGCAGGTTAACTCAGGAAGGAGCCCTGGATTGTCTGTGTCATCACAACCTTGACACCCAGCTCAAGATGCAACATGTAGTCTGTCAAATACAAGCTCAACCCAGCAAAGAGAGCAGGGAGCCAGAGTAGGCCCTACCACTCCCATTTTCCAAACGAGGCTCAGAGAGTGAAGGGACCCCATGAGGTCCCTCAGTTAGCAGGCAACAAACATGGGGCCATAACCCAAGTCCCCTCCCAAATGAGGGGAGGGAGGGGGCAGTGGGTATATCTACAGGTGTGGGCTTACTGAGCAGGGCCCTGGGTGCTTCAGGGGGACCCACAAGCCCTGTGTGGCTGCCTCCAGTCCCAGGGTCTCTGGCCTGGGTGCATCCACATGGAACCCCACATCTGTAAGAGCTGATACAGAGAGGCTCCAGAAGGGAATGGCAGCCCTGGAGAAAAGACGAGGAGTACAAAAAAGACCACAGGTGATCTTCCCCCTCAGAGCCAGGGTCCACACAGGGAAGACAGGGTTCATTTGTCCTGACCCGACTGCTGCACGGATGGCAGAAAGAACACAGCTCTGCAGCCACAAAGATACAGAGCTAATCCTAGCTCTGCCAGCCACTCACTCCAACCTGGGGTCTGTCACATCGTTTCTCTGGGCCTCAGTTCCTTCATCTATACCATGAAAGCAGGTATGTCTTATACACCGCTGCATCCTGTTGCTTGGAATAGTTCTTGTCACATGGTAAGTGCGCAATAAATATTTGCTGAATGAATGCGTGAATGAATGGAAGGGGACAATGATGATGACTTTGCAGAACACTGAATGAAGGACCTTGTCTAAAAAGTCTGGTACAGCTGCCCTGGCCAGGTGGCTCAGTGGGTTTAGGAGCATCATCCTGTATGTCAAAAGGTTGTAGGTTTCATTCCCGGTCATATCTAGGTTGCGGGTTCAGTCCCTGGTCGGGATACATATGGGGTGGGAAGGGGGCGAGGGCAGCCGATTAATGTTTCTCTCTCTCTCTCTCAAATCAATAAAAACATATTCTGGGGTGAAGATTAAAAAAAAAAAAAAGTCTGGCCCTAGCTGGTTTGGCTCAGTGGATAGAGCATCAGCCTTCAGACTAAAAGGTTTGATTCCAGTCAAGGGCAGATGCCTGGTTTGTGGGCTTAATCCCCAGTAGGGGGCGTGCAGGAGGCAGCCAGGCAATGATTCTCTCATCATTGATGTTTCTATCTCTCTGTCCCTCTCCTTCCTCTCTGAAATCAATAAAAATATATTACAAAAAAAAAAAAAAAAAAGTCTGATACAGAAAGGGCCCTTCAGTTTCGTAAGAGGATGGAGATCCACCCTCCTCCCTCTTTCTCAAAGAGCACAGTTCATGGCGACAGTTGCCCAGGGCCCCCAACCACTGTGCCCCTTCCCAAGAAGTCCGAGATAGGCTCTCCCAGGCATTCTTCCTCCCCACTCCAGCAGCCCTGTTTTGGGAAGAAGGGCCCAGGGCAGCGTCGGGAGAAGCCAGGCAGCAGATGGACAAAGACAGCACGTGTCCAGCAGGCAGGAAGCAGCCCCAGGAGCTGGGTTCAGAGCCCAGCATTGGCAGCCCTGCGCGAGGCTGGAGGCTGGGGGCCAGGTGCCAGGGCTGGCTGGCACAGTCTCTCCTCGGCAAAGGCTGGACAGGGGCTTTTCAGGATGAGGTGAGCCTGCCAACATCCGGAGCTGCTCTCGGAGCACCGTCCACCTGGGCCAGTGTGATCCCAGCCCTTCCCCTCCCTGAGCCTCCCCACACTCAAGAGACCTGGGTTCCAATACTGACTCTGACATTAATGCACAGGCCAGATCTTTCTGAGCTCAGTTGTCTCATGTGAAAATAGGGGTTACAGTCCCAACCTTGAGAAGTTGTCCTGAGAATTATTTAAATACGAGAATTAAGGATGAAACTGGGTGGGTGGCACACAGTAAGGCTCTGTAGATGGCAGGGCTGGGCCTGCGGACAAGGTTACTGCTTCCAGCAAAGTCAAGGAAGGCCCAGCAGACTCCTCACCCACACTTCCAATGAGTCTGCTCCACCTGGGCCACACCCCGAGCCAGGCCGTGCCTCCCAGCAGCCCGTTTTCAGCGGCGTCATTGGGAGGGCAGGGCAGTCCGGATCCCAGGCCTCCACCAACTCCCGCCAGCCCCTGGCCTATCTCCTTCCCGACCAGGAGCCAGAGGCAGCGCCTATACCTGCAGGTCAGGCTGCTGTATCGCTTACATGTCACCTGGGCGAAGAACAGCGAGGCCCTGTTCTCCGGTGAGAACAGCCCAACCCGTGCCCCGGCTGCCCCATGGCTCCTGTTACCCAAACAATAACATCCAGTTGCCTGGCACCTCCGTGGAGTGGGGGAGGGGGAGAATGGGCAGCAGTACCCAGGGCTCTGCACCCAGGAAGAAGGAAAAACCCAGCCCTGGCCACGGGAGAAACAGAGGCCCAGAGAGGTCAAGGACTGACTAAGGGTCACACAGCATTTCCAAAGGTAAAGGTCCTGGAGAAATCACTCCCCCCACCCCCCACCCACCTCCTGCCCCAATCCCAGGAACTAAGCCGGTCTTCTCCTTTCACAGAGGTCAAATGCAGAGGTGTTCAAAACGGAGTGGAGTTTCCTATTAAAAACCTGGCCCCTGCCCCAGGATTCCCTCAGGGAAGCAGGAAGTTGTGCCCTGGAATGGGGACCAGGCTCCTGGGTGTCTGCCCTCCCTATCTCCCAGGTAAGTCCTTGGGTTAAGTTCCTCCCTGGCCTCTCCCAACCTCCCTCCCTCCAGAGAGGCCTGGGTGACCAGGTATGCCGAGGCGAAGGACTCCACCTCAGAGCGCCCTCCCCAGACCCAGTGACCCAGGCCTGGGGATGGTGGGGAAGGAGGAACAGGGAATGCAGAGGGCAGTGTAAGGTGAGTCAGCACGAGGGAACTTCCAAGAGCACGCAGGGCCTGTAAAAAACCCTGTGGCAGGGATCCCAGAGCAATTTACTCCAAATTGCGCCTTCAGGTTGCTTACCTAATCCTGCCTCACCCACCCTCCAACAGCCGGTGTCAGCCCTGACCATCCCTTTAAAGGGGCAGCACACCTTGGGTGAGAGGCAGGGCCCTCGGTGGTTGCCCCAGGTAAGAGAAGGGAACCTAGGCAGGGGGACATCGCCTTGGCTCCCGGCTCAATGAGGTCTTCTCACCCTCCTCCCTACACATCTCCCCCATCTCCTTCGCAAAGGGAGTACCACCTGCCTCCATCCCAACTTGAGGCTGAGAGGAAATTCTCTTGACCTGTTGGTTCAGGGGCCTGACCTTGACCCTGGGGTCAAAGGGCACGGGAAGAGCTGGCCTCCTGCATGCTTAGGGCCTGACCCCAGAGAATCCTCCGAGCAGGGCAGGAGCTGCTTCTGGGAGAGGCTAGGCTGGCAGAGGCCAAGCCATCCAAGGGCCCAGGGACCCTGCCCAGGGGAGGGGGCCCCAGGGGGTAGCAGGCACCAAGGTCCTCCTCCTCTCCAGGAGTAATCTCCACAAGGTCGAAGGGTCTTTTCCACTCGCTTCTCCGCAATCTGGGGCAGGGGACACAGCCGTCTTCTGGCCCTAGCCTCGGGGCAAAGAAAACCAAGAGTTTCCGTCCCAGACCAGTGGTGTCACCTCACATCCCCTAACTGCCAGGAGGCCCCAGGGGCCATCCTTCCAGGGTCCGCGGCGGAGGAGCGGGGAGGGGGAGGGCTCTGGCGGACATCAAGGAGAGGTGGGGGGCGGAGGGGGGCACGATCCTTGTCTCACAGAACCCAGACATCAGACACCCGGCCCTGCCCGTCTGCGCTCAGGAGGAAGCCCCGACAGCCGCCGGCACGGGTCCTAGGTGAGCGGCGTGAGGGAGGCCGGGCTCGGCGCCCCACCGGATCCCCTGGCCGGCGCCGGGCGGAACTGTCCTTCCCTCACACACGCCCGAGGCGGAGGGGGGTGGAGCCGAGGAAGGGGCAAGGGACCGGAGGGCACTCGCGCCCTCCCTCGCCGGCACCCGCCACACTGCAGAGGCGCCACGGGCTGCCCCGCCTCTGCGGGGACCCGGGATCGTGGGCCGCGGGCGCCGGTGGCCCCACCGGTTCCCCCGCCGGCGCACTCACCTCCGGGTCCAGCGGCACCAGCTCCATGAGCGGCCAGGGCTCCTTGAGCTGAGCGAGCGGCATCGCGCCGCCGCCGGGCCGCGCGCGCTCCTCCGGCGGCCCTGGCCGCGCCGCCTCAGGGTCCGAGGTCCCCGCCTCCGCGCCCCGCGCCCCGCGCCCCGCGCCCCCGCTCCGAGACCCTCGCGCTCCGGCAGGGCCGCCCGCGCCGCCGCCGCCGCCGCCGCCGCGGCACTCGCACTCCGGCTCCCTCCGTCACCCGGCGCCGCCGCGCCCATTGGCTACCTGCGCGGGGGCGTGGCCAAGGAAGCCCCGCCCCGCGGGCGGCATTCCCGGCGCGGACCCCCGCCCCGGCCGTGCGGGCGCGCTGGCCCCGCCCCCGCCAGAGCCCCCGCCAGGCGCTCCGCTCCGCCCCGAAAAGGCCTTCCTGGCTCCTCCCTCCCGAGCCTGGTCCCACCCCCCTCACCCCCACAGGCCTCCTCCCGCACCCCGATTGCTCCGGCCCCGCCAGGTCCACGGCTGTCTCCCTCCCCGCTCACCTTGCTCAGAATCCTAGATGTGCCTTCACCTCACAGGGCATTCCCTCCTGTGTCCCACCCACCGCTCCCCACGCACACCACACAGAAAGCCGGGCCTGACCCTGCAGAGGCTGGAGAGGAGCCTGGGCCCAAGTCCCGTGAACTCTCCTACTCCCTCACCCCCCACCCCCCCTCAGGAGGCCCTAGGGATCCCCTCCCGGAAGTCAACATTGGATCCCCTGGGGATCTCAGCGATCCAGCTCCAGGTAAGTTCCAACACCCGTCACCACCATTCCAACACCGTCACCACCATCAGAACCCACAGTGTCCTCAGAGTGATTTCTTAATACACATTTTTTGCAACCTGTACTGGAGTGGGGAGGGGCTCATTTCAAGCCCAGTTTCCCGCGAATCTCTCCAGCTGTAGGCCCAGATGTGGGCTGGTTTGGAGTCGCTTCCCCTCTGAGGACCAGGACCAGGCTTCCAGGGTGGACCTGCACGGACACGTGGGCTGCACTTGGAGTAAAAGCCAGGGAGGATTCCCCCTGGCAAGAGTCAGCCTCCATCTAAAGAAGTGTTAGGGGTCCAGGTGTGGTGAGAATTGTTCACATGCAGGCTAGTGGAGGGATGAGCTTGCAGGTTCATAGGTGGGGAAGAATGGCCATTTACTTGCAAAACTGTTCTAAGGCTGGGGGAAGGAAAGGATTGTTTGTCAAAAGCCTTCTGTGGCCCTGGCTGGTGTGGCTCCATTGGTTGGGCATCCATCATACATACTGTACACCAAAAGATTTCAGGTTTGATTCAGATCAGGGCACAGGCCTGGGTTGCCAGCAATGTTTTGCTCTCACATTGATGTTTCTCTCTCTCTTCTTCTCCCCTTCTCCTTCTCCCTCACTCTCTAAAATTCAACTTAAAAGATCTTAAAAAAAAAAACAAAACAAAAAAACCTTCAAGCTTTCTAAAAAATAAAAGCTTTCTGTGAACTAGCCTCCACCAATATGTAATTTCCTTGAATCCTTTCCACCACTTAGTTGACAGCCTCAGAAAGATGAAATTGCACAGCAAGTCAAGAACAGTTTAAGATTTTCAAAAATCAAAGTGGATGAGAATTTCTCCTAAATCCAGAGCTCCCCTTATTCCTTGTTCCCAGGGTAGCTGTTGAAGTGAATTGAGTTTTTAGCAAAAAAAAAAAAGCTATAGGAACCCAACAAATCTGGATTTAAATCCTAGGTCTGCTACCTCCTTAACATTGGAAAACTTGTTTTATGTCTCTCAACCTGTTTCCTTATCTGTAAAAGGGAAATTAGAATCCCAAATGTTCAGGAATATGCTAAGGACTAAATTCATTTTAATTCAGTAAAGATTAATGGCTACATATTACATGCCAGGCCCTCTCCCTGAGCATGAATTGCACACCAGGCCCACTTCTAGATGCTGACGATATAGCAATAAATAAAACCTGCTTTCATGGAGTTCACATTCAGTCTGGTGTGATTAGATAGTTACAGCTCACACTAACATAGCATTTACTATGGACGAGGCACTGTTCTAAACACTTTACCTGTATAACCTCACTTAATCCTCACAACATATGAGGTTGGTCCTGTTATGGTCTCCAGTGTACAGAAGAAGAAACAGAGAATTCAATCATCTCATTCTCTGAAGACCTTCGAGGTTACACAGCTGGAAAATGGCAGAGCTGAGACACAACCCTGGGCCCAAACTTTGTTCTCTAATTCACTCACTCTCCACCTCCCCGGGTGAGAAAAGCAAGATCTAAACTGGAGGCAGCCAGGACTAGAGTGGGCAGCCATTATTACCATTAAGTGTTGGTATCACCCAGTTCTTCGATACCCCCAACGAGTTTGTGATGCCCCAACCCCCCCTGGACTGAAAAGTTGTTGTTTATCTGAAGTTCAAATTTAACTGGGTGTTCTGTTTCGATTCGCTGAATCTAGTAATCCTGCTCAGGGCTCAGAACAGATTGCAGACAGATGCCAAATACCTGGCTATAAGCCAGATTGAAATTAGATTGAGGAAGAGACACAGAGATTGAGGGCAAATGACTGCTAGGGAGACGGGGTGGATGGGTGGGAGTGGAGTAAATGAGGGGAAAGCAGGAGTGACTTTGCCATTTCCTGGGGCCCCTAGCCCTCCCTTCCCCTTCTCACAGGACAGGATTTTCTATCATCTCCATTTAAGGACTGAGCAGTGATAGTACTTTCTTATGGATGTTTTACTTCCTGTGTCTCCTTTCCCAAGGGTATTGGAAAGACAGTGGGTCATGCTGGAAAAGGAAGTCCAGATCACACCTGGGCCCTGCCTGGGGAGCGTGGGCAGTCAGCTTCCCCTAAGTGTTGTAGGGATAGCAGCCACTCAGTGGAGTGCTATGGAAACCAAACCACAGTTTGCAATGTGCTGATCCTGAAGTCTGAACTCACGGTTTTCTCTTTCTTTCTAGGCTACGACCACAGGGCCTTTGCACATGCTGTTCCTTGTGCTTGAAACTGTCTCCCCTCTTCCTCGGGCGAGCTTATCTCCACAATCACTTCTTCCCTTACCTCCCTGTTATATACACTCATAGCAATGGATACTTCTCTTTAGCATTTCTTAAGATTGTACTTTTATATGTGTTTATGTGATTTGACTAACATCTGGCTCTTTAATTAGACAGTAAGCTCTGAGGGGGCAGTAGTCATGTTTTCTTGACACCTGGCACATAGTAGGTACTCAAAAAAGCTAAGTGAAATGTCCAACATCGCCTAGCCACGAAATTGTAAATCTAGGACTCAGACCCAGGCAATCTAACCCCAAGCTCTGAAATACTACACTGAATAGTTGACAAATTCTAGCTAGTATTATTATTAATAATGGGGTTAGAATGGGCTGTTCTGGGCAGTCACTTGAGGTGTTTGTTGAGTGACTTATGAGTGTAAAAGGGCTTTGCTGGACACAGATGGGATTATTACTCTGTATTCTGTTGAAGATATCAGAGCAGGGGGATATACTCACAGTGGCTGAGGGCTGGGTTTTGGGTCCCTCCACTGCATTCTATAATGTTCTAGAGCACAACTTCCTGGGGAAAGGGTCTGTCATTATTATTATTTTATTTTATTTTTTTAATATTTTTTTTATTGATTTCACAGAGGGAGGGAAAGGGAGAGAGATAGAAACATCAATGATGAGAGAGAATCACTGATCGGTTGCCTCCTGCATGCTCCTCCTGGAGATCAAGCCTGCAACCCTGGCATGTGCCCTTGACCAGAGTCGAACCCGGGACCATTCAGTCTGCAGGCAATGCTTTAGCCACTGAGCCAAACACGCTATTCTTTCTTGATCTTTCATATAGAGGAGGGTCTTGGCACATGTGTCTCCTAAAAGCAGATGGAACAGGATGAGGGGAATAATCATAATAATAGTAACCTTTCACAAGTAATTACTAAATGCCAAAACTTGGTTAAGTACTTAAATAATAATCTAAAAATAATCATCCTCACTAACTATGAGGGCTTATTGAGAGAGAATTATGTGACCTGCCTCAGGCTGACTGTTTTACAAGCAAGAGCTCAGCAAATCATCCCAACAATACCATGAGACAAATTATTGTTCCCATTTTCCAGATGAGAAAACTGAGGGTCCAAGATGGGTGGATTGCCTGTGATCAGACAGCTAGTGAGTATTGCAGCTGGGATGGGAACCCAATTGTCTCAGACGCAATCCCTTCACTACAAGGGGAGCCCAGAAGGGGGTGCAGGAGTACTCAGTTTACAGACAGCGGTAGTGATAAAAAAAGGTGAGGGGTGGAGTCTCTTGTTTGCCTCTGCCAGGTCTGAGGGGTGGAGGTGACAGCACTCCCTTGGTTGAAACCCTCCTGTGTGGCTCCCCCATCACACTTGAAACAAAAGCCAAAATCTTTGCCAGGCCCTAGCCGGTTTGCCTCAGTGGATGGAGCATCGGCCTGACCTGCTGACTGAGGGGTCCCAAGTTCAATTCCGGCTAAGGGCACATGCCCGGGTTGTGGGCTCGATCCCCAATAGGGGGCGTGCAGGAGGCAGCCGATCGGTGATTCTCTCTCATCATTGATGCTTCTATCTCTCTATCCCTCTCCCTTCCTCTCTCAAATCAATAAAGAAATATATATATATATTAAAATCTTTGCCAGCTTGCAAAGCCCCACAGGACCTGTCGCCTGCTCCTTCTGGCATCCCCTCTCCTACCACTCACTCACTGCCCTGGGCCAGCAGGAGTTCTCGCAGCTCATTGACACGCTGGGTACCTCTCACCTCAGGCTTTTGCTCCTGCTGTGCCTCCACCTGGACCATCCTTTTCTCCAACTCTCATGAGAGCTCACTCTCACTTCACTCACTTCTGCTCAAATTCACACCTCAGGAGAAAGGACCGACACTATCTAAAAGAGTTCCCCATTAATGGTATTGCCTATCATCTCCTTTTCCTGGCAAGCCTCTTTCCCAGCAATCATATCATAGGTTTACCTGGGGTTTTATTTGTTTTTGTTTTTTCAATATATTTTATTGATTTTTCACAGAG